GGTGGGTGTGGGTGTGGGGTGTGGGTGTGGGTGTGGGTGTGGGTGGGTGTGGGTGTGGGTGTGGGGTGTGGGTGTGGGGTGTGGGTGTGGGTGGGTGGGTGTGGGTGGATGGATGTGAGTGTAGGTGTAGCTGTGGGGGTGGGGGTGCGGGTCATATCTTCATCCACACACCCACACCCACACCTGTCACATGCTGAAACGAAAACCAAACGTAATCGTACAATCTACAGTCCCTGAAGGCAACGCAACCACACGAAAGCCAAATAGAATACAATAAGCATGTCGATCAGCATATCTTACATTGAAGAAGACGACACTAAATTTTTTTCTCATTTGAAAGACTAAAAAACTAACTTGCAATACTAAACATCTTTTTTCTCTTATTCTTATTCTTCTCCTTCTCTACATTAAATATTCCATGGATAAACTCTAGCATCTTCTTCTATGTTTTAGATATATTACATTCTATACGAGCAATGCATCCATTAAAAAGTAGCTATTAAACTTATCAGGATCTGAACTATCTTCCGTCAAAAACACTTGATCAAATTACCAAACAAAATTACTCACTGCCAACAGACGGACATTCTCTTCTTTAAACAAGATTATTGCATCATTACCAAATAAAATCAAACCCAACGAAAGTCAAAACCTCTCGTAAGTAGCTTAGAATTCTAAAACAAACCGAATTATAAACTTATTCAACTTCAATATTCCATTTCAAGCGAACATGAAAGAGTTTAGGGGAAAAAACTATACCAATAAGAATTCAGTAGAACACAGTGTTTAATTGAAGATTGCCACAACAAGAAAACAGCGGTCTAAAGAAATCAGATCTCAAGAAGCAGACACCAAACGTAGTGTTAATCAAGTAGAGTATCAAAAGATCTAACAACTAGAACAATGACAAAGATAGTCAATCAATAACGTATGCAATCTCATTGTACAAATGAACCATATAAAGACCTTTATATGTCAAAATCTAGACATTTCTGGTATTGACTATTATTCTCTTGTATAATTCACGTATTTATTATTATTTTGTCATTCATTTGTATGGTAATCATCTGACACTAAGAAAATTTTCATTGCTTTACTATTCTAGATCTATACTAGTCTATTGAACTTCGTTAAATAATTATATTTCCACAAACACATGGCGAATCACCGAATACTTCAATAATAATATTAGCTAGTTACTGTAACAATCCATTGTCATTATCCAAAATGGTTTTATAGCGATTGGACATTCTTTAGAATGAGTACCAACAACCATCGTATTGGTATACACCCTCAAAGTCAATCATTGCCAACACTGAAAATGAAGTCCATATTGATCAAATATTATCTGGCGAAATAGTGACTACAAATCAGTCATGAATACAACGCAGGCTGAAACGCGTCGTAAGATTGCTAGGTTTGTAAAAAATTCATTTATAATCACACCTGTAATTGAATTTTCTACGATTGTTAATATTTCTTTTATTTTTGCTTATCAAAAGTTCAAGAAATATTAATATGGTCAATTTCAAAAAATTGATGGAAGTTAGTTGGAAGTTTCGTCTTTAGGATGAGACTTTTATTTTAAACTTTTACTACTTTGAAAAATTTGACCAATATGTAGATAATTAGATTCCGAACTTACCTGACGACTGACCCTTCAGCAATGTCGAAATGCGTCGTAAGATTGCTAGGTTTCTAAAAAATTCATTTATAAACAGACCCACCCACACCCACACCCACACCCTGGATGAAATATTCCTATATAAAAACAGAAGATATCTTGAAAAGCTTCTGCGACACGAAATATCACCCCGTAATTTGCTCACTTAAGACTATCATACCAAATATTATTTAACTGTAACTGAAGGATAATGAAGATGTATTTGCATAGCAAAATAAGAATTCAAACAAAACTAATAAATATTTTATTATAGTTTGTTAATGTTAATATTTACATTGAACATTTAACAAAAATAGCTACCGAAGATGTTTGCTTAATTAGATATGTAATTAATTCATTTAGCTTCAGCCTTACAATACATTGAAATAATAATAAACTTAAACACTATTATTTGGATTTTGATGATGTTTCGTAAGGAATGAGTCTGAACATCCAGCGATTCACATGCTTGCAATACTCCTTATAAGGTTCGCCAAATCTTTCAACAAGCTTAGGCTCTTCTTTAAACATGAAGTAAAGTGTGTTGCAAACAAAAAATGAACCAGTAAAATATGCCATTCCGTTAGAATTGAAAAACAAAGCCTCGGCAATCATTATCATGAGTATTGACGCAATCATTGGATTTCGTACGAATTTATAAGGTCCTTCTACCACAAACTGCTTTGGTGGCATCATTGGTGATAATGTTCCTTTCCCTTTCGACCAGAAGTGATAGTTTGTAGTACAAAACAAGTACAAACCAATGGAAAACAAAATCACACTTAGTAATTGTGCAATATTACAATATTGAACATGGAATAAATAGTTCTGTTCCGGATTGGCACTGTTAAGAATTGTTCCAATATAGATAGCTCGAGGAATGCCAACAGTGGCTTCAATTGGCAACGATAATGACACGAACACTTGCATTAGATTTGTTTCATTTTGGCCAATCATTAGAACGTGACCCACAATCACGAATAAATGTGCGTAGATTATAGGTGAAATAATATCCCACCAACTATTTGGAAACGTTTCAATTAGTTTTGTAGGCCAGGTACCAGATGTTGCAATAAAGTAAGCTGGTAAGCACAATACAATTGTTAGTGGTATTACTTCTTGAATAACTTTGTTAATATAATTCATGATGATTCTAATCTCGAATAAATATTGAACGTTGTTAAGCGTATTCAGTTCAATTTGAAGCTTTCTTAATAGTAAAATCAAGAATGACATATTGAATTAATTAATTGAAGCAATTTGCTTAATTTTAAGAGAGGATTCGTGAGATCACCACCCAAGCCGGTTGCCGAAAAAGTTTTGATTTTGACATTGACTATCCAGTTCGAAAGAGCAAAGAAAGTTAGCCATAGACCCAAAACATTAGAGGGTGATGGTGTATTATGAGAAGATATCTTCTCTTATAATAGTAAAAATATAAACATGACAATATTATAATAAATTTTTCGAAATTGACCAACATGAATTATTCATTAAAAAAAAGAAAAACATTCTTATCCTATAAAAAGATATTAAATTCATTAGACAAAAATGTGGTTTATGCTAAATTTATTGAAGAAGTTGCTCATCCAGAAAGTCAAAAGGTATGTCGAAGAGATCTTATATTTCAAGAAAATGCAGACTCAAAACAACGAACAAAAACTGTATTACAAATTGTCGATGGATTATTTAATCATCGAGTTTTACCAGAAGAAGGCTATGCTAAATTTGCTTACGTGTAGTCTATTGAGAACGCGTGGAGAATTTTAAAGGAAAAAACACGAGAGGAACAGTTTTCAAGTTTTGAACAAAGAATAGAAAAAATAACTGGTGATGATTGTAAAGAAATGATCGATAAAATTCCTAACAGACTCGGCGAAGTGATAAACAATAGTGGAGAACAGATACATGATAGTTAAACCCATTTTTGTCTAATCAAATTAATATCTTTTTTTTTAAATAAGAATATTCTTTTTTTTAATGAAAAATTCATGTAGGTCGATTTCGAAAAATTTATTATAATATTGTCATGTTTATATTTTTACTATTACAAGAGAAGATGTCTTCTCATAATACATCATTTGAAAGACTGTCATTGAGTACTCAAACTTTATATAAAAACATTTGGTTTGAGATCGTTTTTTATTTTCATATAAACTAATTTTTATCAAGCCTCAAAACTTATGAAACACCCTGTATCGCTTGAGGGAACAATGTAATGCTATGAGTTTTGTGCTATTTTCCGGAGAGAAAGCTGATTTCCATTTTGCTCATTCAGTGATATAGCGCGTGATCAACAGTAGTCTGTGTCTAGAAAGAAAAATATTTTGGTGCCGACAGTCTGTAAATCTAGCAAATTCGGCTATACGTTAAGCTGAGTTGTTGCTGAAAAATGAGCTGGATTTCCAAGATTTCGGTTTTGGAGTATATATTTTGTTTGTCGGTTTAACTCAACAAGCAAATCAACTTAGCTTGTATGAACTGTGACAAAGAGGGTCAAAGAACAAGTAATATATCCTTTGTTCTGAGCTCATTCGTAAGCAGCTGATTTCATAGGCTGTTTTCAAGAGCGACAATACGATAGAACTGGCAATGAGACTTTTTCTAGCCAACGAACTCTGGTATGGAAACATATCATTTAAGTACGATAGACTAAATCCAAATAGTATAGTGGTACTTACCGTTAAATAATGCCCACGGATGATCGAAGTAGAATGAAAATGGACAAATGCACTAATTGCGAATACAAAATAATGTAAAAAAACTGAATAAAAATGCGAAAACTACACGTTTATATTCCTCTTCTTCTGCAGTGACCACTGATGCATAGATCATTTTTTTTTCACATTAACGAAAAATAAGCAAGCAGTCCGATGATAGGAGTGTTCGTGTATGCAACGTTTTTTTTCTCGTCATACACTTATCGAACATTACTTGCAATCAACGTATGA